GGGGGAAGGTTTTTCCTGGGCACAAAGCAAGCCCGTGGGAGGGCCAGGCGGACACCGAGTTGCCTCCTGCCCCAGCCTCTGCCTATCAACACCACGTGTTCAGCCACTTGACTGAAAGCACCAGCTGCCTGCCTGGGTCAGACTTCTGTGTGAGGGCACGTTTCCTGTGCAGACCACACCAAACAGACCCAAGAAAGCTTTAAGGAAGGAAGGTTGTGGGCACAAAGCAAGCCCGTGGGAGGGCCAGGCGGACACCGAGTTGCCTCCTGCCCCAGCCTCTGCCTATCAACACCACGTGTTCAGCCACTTGACTGAAAGCACCAGCTGCCTGCCTGGGTCAGACTTCTGTGTGAGGGCACGTTTCCTGTGCAGACCACACCAAACAGACCCAAGAAAGCTTTAAGGAAGGAAGGTTGTGTGCCTGCCTTCAAACTGCTACAGTTTGAAGCCAAGGTGTGATAGCCCAAGCTCAGTGCAGAGGAGGTAGCAGGGCAGGCAGGGAGGCACCAGCGCTGGCGGGGGGCGGGGAGGCAGCTCACTTGGAGCAGGCACCTTCTAGCCTGAGCCCACTTTCTTGCTCAATAACTGTATGCGATGTAACGGAAGTCTGGTCCTGGCTGACCTGCACCGGCTGCTCGTGTTGAGGTCATAACGTTGTGCAGCCTGCAGCCTGGGCCTGGCTGCAGAAAGAAGTGCTTCCCCCGGGGACCCTCCCTGCCCAAGGGATGCTGTGGTCATGGGAGGGAACAGTGGGTCCTCACTGGGTGCTGAAATTGTGGCATGAGGGGCTGCAGCACCCAGAACCATGGCAGCTTGGCACCTCCCCTCCCACAAGTGCTCACCTGTGCACCAGCTTGTCTCCGGCAAGCCTGGGCCACCTGAAGTGAGTGCTGGGGTGCAGAGGGGCACTGCGGCTGCGCTGGGGCGGTGGAGGGATGTGGTTGGGTGCTGCAGGTGCTCTGTGCTGCTCTTTGACTGACCGAGCTCTCCTGTCCCTGCAGTGTATGTCGTGGAGGAGCGGCGGAGGGACGACACGGGCGAGAGTGCCTGCCTGACGGCATGCTGGACGGCGCTCTGCTGCTGCTGCCTGTGGGACATGTTGACCTGACCCCACTGCAGCCATCTCCCATACCTTTCACCGAGTGCTATGCAGGCTCCCCACTCCTTTCCTGACTTCTTTCTGTTACTGTAATCAACGCTCTGCTTTGCACAGCCAAGAGTTCCTGTCTGTCAGTCCTAGCGCCTTGTTGGGGTGGGGGGTGCACTCCTTTATTTTAGTAAAGGAAAAAAAATCCCTTTTTAACATTTCTAAGACTTTTGTTGTAACTTTGAAGAATGTGCTAATGGTGTATTTCAGCCAAAGGCATTCTGATGAAATGTATATTTATCAGTTGAAATTTTCCTAGTCCTAGAAATGAAGACATACGCAATAATTAAAGGCAACAGTTGATTTTCTTTGCTAGGTCCTGACTGTTTCAATAAATCTGTCCCATAGAGGGTGTGCTTCCCCCGTCGCTGTCTGTTCTCAGCCTCCTGCCTGTGCTGACTCTGCAGTAGCAATTGGGGACTTGGCTTCAAGCAGCTTTGCTGCAGAAGTTGGTGCCTCAACCCCTCACTGAGCTCTGAGCTGGGGCTGTGTGGCCCTGCTGTGGCATTTTCTGCAGCAACCTGGTGCATAAGCCCTGAGAGTGCAGTGAAACCAGCTAGGTTGGGGAGGGTGAAGCACCCGTGTTGTCCCTGGCTCAGTCAGGTTTTTTCATCCCTCGGTGTACTCAGGGCTGGACATGCAGGTCCCAGCAGTTCCTGGGATGGCAGGGAGCTGGGGGAAGCATGTGCTGAACTGCTGTGGGTGTGTGTGCCAGCAGCTCCTGAGGGAGGACTGGTCCTGCTCAGGGGGTTTTTGAGCAATGATCCATCATCCCCCTGCTGTAGAGTATGGGCTGTGGGGGCAGGGGGAATTAATGGGGAAGAAGAAAGAAGGCTATGGATTAATTTAGTCCTGAGGATTTGTAGCTGCAGCTGTTTCATGGCATGCCTGGCCAGGAGAGGGATAAAAAGCTTTTATCTGCAGAAAAGTGGGGAAGCTGCTGCTGGTCACCATGGAGGATAGTGCCCACCCCCTACCCACCACACCCACTCGCTGGTGTTCTCCCTGCCTCAGGAAGCAAAACCCATCCTGGTGGACTGACACACATTGGCTCTGATTTGTAGTGCCTGAAGATCAATCATCAAGTGATCTTGTACCCTGTTGCAGCAGGGCTTCAAAGGGTGCTGGGCTTGCCACCCCTTGGTTTGGGTGTGCTGCAGCCAGCCTCCCCTGGACCTGGCAGCAGGTGCCAAGGGAGGGAAGGGTGGCCCAAGCTGAGCTAAATGAGGGTTGGACTTGTCTGGGTCCTAAGGCTCTGCTGCCCTGCGCCTGCACGGGCCTGGGTACAGCAGCCAGGCCTGAAGAAACCAATGTGGGGACGGGGCTTAGCTGCCAACTGCACAGCAGGGCCACAGCTGCCATGCTGTGAGGCTTGCTCAGGCCTCACAAGGCACCTCGCTGGGTTCTTCTGCACCTTTTTGTCCAGGCGTTCCCCCCCCCCAGCCAGGTGCCCGCTGCTTCTGGCACAGCCCAGGTGCTCTGTATGCCTTTGCATGGGTCTGAGAAATGCAGTCTCGGGGCTCTGGTCTGGAGCAAGACAATTTGGTTTGGGTTGACGAGGGTCCCTGGAGCCTTCAAGCCCCCCTGCAGGCTGCAGCCCTAAGCTCAGGCCTGCTGCCAGAGGCTTCCTGCCCCGGGAACAGTCACCGTCACCCTCCCTGTCACTTTGTCACCTCCCTGGCAGCTCAGCAGCCATCAGGGCTCAGCAGGGTGGTCCCTGGCTCACCCCACCTTGGCAGGGGGCTGCACCCATGCCCCTGCCTGCCCCCTCTCTCCAGCCCCTTGCCCCAGCACGGTGGCCAGACCACCCTGCCTGCCCTTGTCTGCTCCCCAAAAACCACCTTGCTGGGCACAAGGCGAGCCCCCAGTCCTGCGCAGTCACCCCACAGCCGCAGACTGGGTCTTGCTCTGCCTCAGGCAGCACAGATCCCTGCAGCACCCTACCCTCGGTGCCACAGTGCCTGTCCTTGGGGACACAGAGGGGATGCCACATCTCCCACGCTCCACTGGGAAAGGCTGCCACAGGTGCCAGTTACCCTGCACCATGCGGGGCAGCAGTTCTCTGGGGCGATGTGGGGGAGGAATCAGGCTTGGGTTGCTGGAGAAGAGGGCTCCCCCTGTCCCCCAGTGAGCCTGGACAGAGCCTGTCCCCCATGCCAGGCCAGGGCAGGGGGTGACGCTCAGCCCAGCCCAGTGCAAGGCAGTCCCCGCAGCAGTGAGGCCCTGGCCACTGAGCCCAGCTACGGGCTGACCTGCCCTGCCCCAGGACCAAAACGGGACACCTGGTCCAGGTGTGCCCACCCCTGCTGGGTGCTGCCAAGCATGGCAGCTGGCACATGCCAGCAAGCACCAGAGCTGGGAAACAGCAGATGTGGCAGCTCGTGGCTGGCTGTGGGATGCAGCAGCTCTGCACACCCACACAGGAGCTCAGTGAGACCCAGCAGGAGGGGAGCCCAACCAACCCCCAGCCAAGCCACTCCCAGGCCCATCATATGGTCCATCAGCCCCTCATGAGCCCAGGCACAAGCCCAGCGGTGCACAGGGGCACAATGGCAAGCAGGAACCCAACCCAAGGACACTCGAGGCACAGACACCTTGTCTGGGGCCTTTACCAGGGCAGCCCCATGCCCGGGCTGTGCCCACCCCATGAGTGCCCCAGAGCAGCTCTCCAGGTCACCTTCTGGAATAAGGGGTTGATGCCGGGGTGGGACACATTATCGGATGCAGGGAAAAGCTGTTTGGGATTGCACAGGTCTTGCTCTGGGATGTTTAGTGGAGGACCCTCTGGTGGAGGTGCAGGTGATGTAGAGAGGAGCAAGCGTGGAAAAATAGCGAGGTATGGGGCTGAAAGGACCAGCTGGGTGTTAACGACCAGCTGGTTGGTACACTTGTCCAGCATCTGATCAGCACAGTCTGTCTGAGCTTAGTAAATTCCTCTTAAACACGGTCCTGGGTGAGGGTTCCCTACTTAGTGTGTGTGCAGGGTATGAGTGAGCTGGGGGATCAGTCCACAGCCCCCGTGTCGATGGGGCAGCAGCTGCAGGCAGTGGAGGGGTGTGATCACCAGCAAAGCTGAAGCAGCTGGTGAGGCAGGGACATGGCCTGGGACCCTGGGGGGAAGCAGGTGGCAAAGGGCCAGCCCAGAGTGTGACAGAGCCCGTGTGTCTACGGATCAAGAGCAGATGGGGTCAGCAACGGGACCTGGAAAGTCCTGCTCAGATCCAAGATCTCAAGTTGCTGCTGGCAGGAGAGGAGACATCCCCGAAAGCTCCATTTCAGAAAAGCCCCAAAGCAGGGGAAGGAGGAAGCCAGGCGAGGAAGCCAGGAAGCTTCATGCACTGCGAGCATGAAGCACAGGGTGGCACTGGCCCACCACGAGCTCGCTGCTGCGCTGGGGCTCTGCCAGGCCCATGTGTACAAGGAGGGAAACAGGGCCCGTCCCAGCTGAGACTGAATAAATGACCACCTGTAGTGGACCTGGAGGTGCCTGTCATGGCTGGCCCTGCTCTGCCCGGCCCTGCCAGACACCCCCGCCACAGATTCACCAGCCCTCCTCCAGCAGAGCAACACAGCGAGCCTTCCCCAGTGTGTTGCAGAGGCTTTCCAGAGGGCGAGGGCTACAGCTGCTTTAAAGTAAAAGCAGGATTCCCTGAAGGGCCCTCATCCCACATCCCACCCCCACCTCCTTTCTCCATCAAATCCCCGCAGGCAGAGCCGCCGCTGTGAGACGCTGGCAGTAGCCATGAGCTCAGGCTTCGCAGCAGAGTTTTATTGAAAGTGCCACAGAATGGCGCTTGTGCAGTCGGGCGGCAGTGAGCGGTGCGCAGGCAGAGCTGCCCAAAATCACCCAGTGGGTGTCACAGGAGGCCGGGGGGAACCACACAGCTACTGCGCCCTTCGGGCCATCAGCATTTCCCGGATGTTGTCTTCTGCTTCCTTCACGCTTCGCTCCAGGTACGACTTCTTCTGCTGCAAGGCAGAAAACCCAGAGAAGAGTTAAGGTCCACTGGCAGCACGTGCCAGGGTGCTGGGGCCAAGAGCTGCCCAGGGCAGAGCTGCAAGCAGCCTGTTGAGGGCACACATGACCCTATGGGTTTCCCCAAGTGGGGGCAGCAGTTATTCATTTCCAGAGGCATCCTGGAAGCATTAATATTTAGCCTGGGCAATGTTTACACAGACTTTGAATTTTGTTCCCTCTGAAACCTCCTCCTCGGAGCTGCCAGGGGGCTGCAGCAGCAGCGGCGCTGCAAAAAGGGGGGTTCATTAACAGTAGCAAGGAAATCAGACCCTGTAACACTTGGAGCAACACTTGTAACACTAGAGAGGAATTAACATGCTGAGGCCTCCTTATGGAGATGACAGCAAAATCCTTTTGCATTTGGGTAAAAAAGGCTCTTTTTCCCAGCTGGGCCAGTTTTCTAAACCCAGACCCTCCTTTCTAACAGAAATTCCCTGGCATCATCACCAAATACTTGTGTTTCCTTAATCATCTTTAATTAGGCTAGGCTTGGCAGGGAAGCAGCCTGAAGCTATGCATCCCAAGATAGGAATTCAGCATGCAGCATTTTTTCCTGCTCGTCTGGGTGCTCCTAGGTGACTGGAAAAAATCAGTGCTTGGCTCTTTTGACTATTTTCTCTGGGTTTCCACAACAGCCACAAGAGTCTCCAGTGGAGGCCAGGCTGGCAGAAGGCGTTGTGGTGAGCGCAGGCAGCCCTCACCGCTGGAGGCAGACCTCCTTTGGCAGCAGCAGGAACAGCACTGCTCCAAATGCATTTTGTTATGGACTGGGGGGCCCTTGGGGAGGCTCCCCAGAGCTGGGCTTGTGGAGGACCATGGGGAGAGCTCTCGGAGACATATGCGGGGGCTCCATGGGTAGGACCTGCTGCATGCTGGCACGGGGCTTGCTGTCCTCACAAGGTCCTCTTCTCAGCAAAGCCTGCTGGGGACTGCTGCAGCACAAGGCTCCCGCTACCCCACAGTGGTGACAGCCACACACCAAGCACCTTCCCATGGGTCTGGGGAGCTCCATAGAGCTCGGTCTCTCAGCCAAGCCAATAAATGGCTTGGCCAATAAATAGGCATTGGCAGGATTATTGCTAAATTACAGGAGTCCAGGCCTTGTATTAGAACATGCTGCCATGGGCTCCACTAATTGCCTCCCCAGCCACAGGCAGAGGAGCGCAGTCCGGCATGACTGACCTCCAAAGTCCACCAAATAGCTAAAGGGGGACAGCCAAGGTGTCCTCAGCACTGCTCAGACATGCAGCGGGGCTGAAGGAAAGGTTAAAAACACAGGCTGCTCTGGGGTGCTCCCCTAGGTGGCTAGAGCAGAGCAGCACCCATGGGTGCAGGCTGCAGGCAAAGCAAGGGGGGGGGGGCAGGCTAGGGGGCTTGTGTGTGAACCCATGTGTATGGACATGGCCACTGCCAGCTGGCGACAGGCATTAACTGCAATGTTGATGCCCTCCTGACAGCCTCCCCCTGACTCCTGCAAGCCCACGGGGAGCTGGGACCTGTAATGCTGAAGGAAAATTCATTAGCACATGGGACAGTCCTGCTGCCATCACTTCCCACCCATCCCCTTGCAGCAGACCTGCAGTGACACTTCTGTACACTCAGCTGAAATGCCCATGCCATGAGGACATCTCTTCCAGCCCCGTCTCTAAATACTGAAGGGCTTTTATTTGAACAGTAAAGGTTGTTAGCCACAGCTAGGGCCATGGGTACGGCAAAGGGCTCCTTGTCCCTCTGAAACCGTCCCCAGGCACGTGGGATCCCTCAGGCTTACAAGAGCTGCTTTTCAGGAAACCACAGGGAGCAGAGGCACAGCGCGGGTTCCTCCTGCCAACGACTCGCTGACGCACGACCAGGACTTTTGCCACCGCCACGCCGTTCTCACGCTGCCCAGACAGACAGTAAGGAATTTAACATCTAAGGAATCAAATCTGAAGACTGTGAGGGGAGACAGGTCCCAGAACACTCACGTGGGTCAGAGCTCCACCTCGCTCTGCTCACTGGAGGAGAGTGGCATCAGCAGAGCTGACTTCTATGCATTCATTTATTACTAAAACAATTTTTTAATGCAATTAAAGTAGTCTATGAAAAAGTTCTGGCTTTCTGTCCTCTCCCCCTCCCTCTCGTGCCCACCAGGCAGCAAGAGACATTTCCAGAGAGCAGCTCTCTGCGGGCAAGCTGGCCGTGGCAGCAACCTCGCTGCTGCTGCACAGCAGCCAGGAACTGGCAGGCTGCAAACAACAGCTGTGTTCTCCTGCCACAGTGGGATTTCAAAAATCCCCTGTTAGGAAGCCATGCTGGCAGCCATTTGGGGCCCACTTCCCCAAGGACAAGGGACCTTGAGCACTAAGGTGGCCTGACGGAGCACAGGAGCGTTCATGTGGCCCATGTGGATGCATGCTGCTCACTCCTACGCAGTGGTGTGCCCTGCCCTCCCCACAGGAGCAGGGCTGCATGGCAACAGGACATGGTTTAATGTCACTTCTTTACTTAAGCATCACCTGCAGTCCCAGGCAGGTGAAGATTCAGGGAATTTGTATTTCCCTCAGTCACTATCCTCAGTCATGTAGTTTCTGGGGCAAGAGGATGTGAGCTGGACCTGATGTTTTATCCCTTCCTCCCAAAAGTAGCCTCCAGGGAGACTCATCCTTGGGCTCAAGCAGCATCCCTCAAGCATCAAGGGAAACCCTGCACCTGCAGCTGGGGGGCTGCAAACTTCCCAAGCTCTCCTGCAGGCCAGCAGTGCAGAGCCAGCATGCCAGCTGGCTCCCATCCGACTAACAGCCAGAATCAAGGGGGAGCGAGGAGCAGACAGTTGCCGCATTTTCCAAGCTGGGTGGCAGAAGCGAGTTGTCCTTCCCAAGGAGCTGTGGCCTGGTTTCTGCTTCGGTACTTACAGGAGAAAAAGCAGTAGCTTGCGTGCAAACCTCTCCTCACCATGATTACTGGGGTCTAGACAGGAAACTCCATCTCTGCCTGGTGCGCCTTCCCAGGGAGCAGCGCTGTGAGCAAGCTGGCTGACACACCATGCCTAGTCACACCAGCTCTCCCAGAGCTGTCTGACAGCGCAGCGCTTAACTCATCCTGGAGGCTGTGCTGGTCCAGCCAGATCTGCCAGGCTGGTGGTATCTGCTCCCAGTGGGAAGAACACTACCCAAGCCTCCCAAACCCCACCTCCAAGCTTCCCTGAACTCACATGCTTTCACTGCACTCTGTGTTGACTTGCAGCCCTAGCTAACCCTATGTCCTCTGACCCCACGTTTTAGGCAAGCCCATGCCTGCTAGGTTTTAGCTCATCACCCAATTAGCTGCATATAATTTCTGGTGAAGGTGTGTTCGCCACTCCAAGTGTTAATTCTCTGTTGCCTGTGCCAAGGCAAGTGCAGCTAGCAGCGAATTTCCAATGCAATGCCAGAACTGTACTGCTGGGTTTTGGTCCCTCATGAAATCAAAAGATGATGCTCTCTGCAGCCTCTGATATTACTTCTACACCAGTAACTCCAGTACTCACCAGTCAGGAGCCCAACGGGATGTGGCAGCATGTGGCCCTGACTTCAGAGGCTGCACAACCGACGAGCTGCAGATTCAGAGCTCCTACCTGCCACCCACACCAGCAGTGCTGTACACCGCTCCCCCCGCCCCCCCCCCCCCCTCAGCAGCTTCTGCAGGACTCCGACCAGACACAGTGGTTACCCAAAAAAGCAAGAGATGCCACTGCCTGAGTCACGGAACCCCAGGGTAGAACCAAGAAAGGAGACTTGCTTTGGGAAGGTGATGGGGCAAAGGTGACACATGCCACTCGGCTCCCAGGAAAGCCCAAACTGACGGCTTACAAACAGGGCTGTGCTCTGCAGAGAGGCCAGGCAGTGCCATGAGGTGCTGGCGTCTCCCCAGCAGTTACGCAAAGAGCCATGCGAAGTGGCCGGGCTGTGAAGGAGGAAATGCAGACAGCATAGTAGGAAGAGGCCGGTCTGTCCACCAGCGTCTTTGGCTGCAGTGAGAAGCCAGTTCCTCCTCCTGCTTCACAACTGCCACATCCACTTGCTAGAGATTTATTTACCAGACTGCAAAATACACTTCTGGAGTGTTACTGAAACTTAATGAGGAGGCACAGCTTCTGATCGCCCGCTCGGCCAGGGCAGTGCACGCATCCCCCACCAGCCTCTGCTGCCCCGTGGCTTTTGGAGGTTTCAAAAACATTGCTTTGTTTCCATGATCCACGCACAATAACTCCCACACAGGGAGGAATCACTGGAGGTTGCAGGTCCCATCAGCATGCAAGAAGCCTCTCCACCACAGAAGTGACAGAGCTGGAGGCCACCTTGAAGGCATGTGCGAAGGTAGCAGGATTTGCAGCTGCAGATTTCTAGGCGGGCAGCAGACTTCGCATGCACTCTGAAATCAAGCCAGCTGCCCCGCTCCAGCACAGGACAAGCTCTTGCACCCTCACTTGTTCCTACCACAGGCCACCCACCAGTTCTCATCCAAACCCTTATTTGCAGTGAGAGCCCCTCAATCCCCTCCTGCCCTGCTCTGTCCCCACACAAGAAGGGCACTGCCACCTGCACTGGGCCACAAGACCAATATGCAGCTACTGCGACAGGCTAGCAACATCTGGGCCACATGCAGAATAGCTGATAGGGTGCAAAACTGCAGAATAAGCCCCCCAAAAGCCAGTGCAGTCAATGCCTCCCAGCCTGTAGTTTTGCAATTCCTTTAAAATAATCACACTACCAACAACAGTCACTGTCCCTAGCCAGGAAGGGCTGCAGCACTTGGGAGCAAGACAAACCACAGCCCTGATGATCTGTCTAAAAACTAGCCCAAAAGGAAATGTCCTCACCTAAATCTGCTTTCTGGAAGTAGGTTTGCCATGCTTAATGGCTGCCTGGCACCGAGATGGACAGTGAGAAGAAACGGCCAAGAACTCTTCTTTGGGCAGCAGAGCCAACCC